AGCATCCAGTTTGTGAAGTAGAAATTATGGTGATGATATAGCATTTTTGTCAAGATGAAAAAAGATTGCTCATCATAGAAACCTTTTATATATCAGAGCTGTACATATGTCAGCTATTTAATGATATGAAAAAAAAACTGTTGTGTTGCTGTCTTGAGTGCTTTACTGCTTGACTTGTTTCATTATCCACACAAGTGTCAAATTCTGTTTGAATCTTGTTAAGAAAAGTCTCAGCCTCAGCTACATCCTTTCCCTTTGTCTGGTACATTAGAAGACTGAGCTTTGCTTAGCGCCCCCCCCCCTTCAGTGCAAGAAAAAGAAACATTAAAAAAAGGCCTATTACAGGAAGACATTTTCCATGTGCCAGGCCAATTGTCCCCATTCCCATTGTTTGCTGTTCTGAGCAATTCTTCCCTCCACCCCCGCCTTTTGTGATAACTACCTGATACTATTAGAATAGGGAATGGACCTATTGCTGGAACAAGCCTTGTAACAAGTATAACTGGCTGTATTTTTGTTCAGCAAACCATGTAATAAAAATACAATGAGTCTCCTTTCAAATACACACCTATTAAAGCAGCAGACCCATTTTAAGAGTAAACTTCCAGTGGTACAAATGTTAAGTACAATAGGAATCTGACCCACTGGAGGATTGAAACTTTCCTTTTGTGTGCTCTTTTAAAATGAATACAGTTTCAGCTCACCACCAACTGATTGTTCTTGATTCCCCCATTGTCTGGATGACAATGCAGCCCCCTTACATCGCCACATACCAGTGAGCGAGCGAGCGAGACCTGCAACAAGAATATGGCTTTCTTTCCCCCTTGGCATAATGGGGTTATGCATTCAACAGGGTTTCTGAAGTAATAAGGACTGGGACGAAAGCACAAGCTCCTTTATGTTCAGTTCATTTTCATCTCTACTCATTGTATCTTTGCAGGACAGGGTGCCCTGAAGATCTTTTTTACATTTCTCTTATTCTGACCTTCTGCAAATTCTTTGAGCTGTTCTGTAAAACGAATGGTATGATAACTTGAAAAAGGTGGCCTGAGGCTCTGCATGCACAATTTACTGCAGTGTGGACTGTTGCCCTGCCAACATCCCTTGCATCCAGAAGAAAAAGGGGTATCTCCTAAAGCTTATTTTTATTCCTGTTGCACACAACATTGAGGTGTAAAAGCAACAAATCCAGGATGCTTGCAAATGTAGCTAGGAGCCCTTGTTATCAGATCCTTGCCATGACATATAAAATCATTGGAACCTCTGGTAACGATACCTCTGGGCCAGAGGTAGGGGCAAATATTCAAGATAATGTGCTCACGGTTTAAACATTGAGATGCAGAAGTGTCCTACTTTAGAGGACAGATCTCTATTTAAAGGCATCCTTTATTTAGTCCAAATCAAGTTGGAAGATAAAGCAACCTTAAAAAAGGGGTCAGGGGTCATAAAGTTGTCCATCAGCAGTTAAAACCTAAGAGGAAGAATATATAGGTGCACAAATCTTTACCAACATGGTTTTATAATTTTAGTCAATTCCTGTAATTATATCTAAATATAGGTCCTTTTCTTTCTCAGTGTCTCTCAGTTGATATTTGCCCTATCTATTTAAATATCTGCAGGCAGGATGAGAGAGCCTAACTTATGTAAACTTGTATCAGCTTGTGTCTTCTTTTCTTGGTAATCCATATTCTTTATTATGTTTTGCTTGTGATATGAAATACACTTAAACAGGCATTTGAATTACCAGTTACCTGTATAATGCAATTTAAAATTGTTCTTGTTATTCTCATGATATTCACACTAGGATCCAACTAAAGTTCCTGTAGCTAGTTGAGAATACATGACAAAGCATATACTCTGCCATACATATAAGGCCAAGAAAAGATGGGGATCATGCTCCTTGCTTCAACTTTTCCCAACTTGTCACCCTTCAGATATATTGGATTACAGTATAACTTCCATGAACCTCATTCTGCACAACCATAATCTATGCTGGCTTTGAGCTTTGATTCTTCCAATTCATCAGGAGGGTAGTAGTTTGGGAAATATTGTGTTTTAAGGAAGCTATTCCATTCTGAATCACCATAAATAACTGAAGGATGTTACCACTGTTGATGAGCAGCTAAGTTATCCAGAAATATGTGTGCTATATAAATATAACCTTGATTCCTTCTCCTTTTGGAGTTATGTTACAGTTAACAGGTGCTCTTGGTTAGCTTTATAAACCTTTAAACATTATATATTCTTAAGTAACATGTTTCTGTGAGTAGTCAATCCTCATATAGTTCATATTTATTGCTATTTTATTTGAAAGCATTGGATTCTCTTAAGTAACATGTTTCTGTGAGTAGTCAATCCTCATATAGTTCATATTTATTGCTATTTTATTTGAAAGCATTGGATTCTGGAAGGGGAAATAGCCCATGCTGCAATAAATCCTATGGCAAGAACTTGAGATATCTTTCTCAAGTTTGTACAAAATTGTTAATTTAAGGCCACAACAGATTAATATGTGTCCTGAGTATATATAGAATATATTTTGCCATAATATTTCCTTATTCTGCTGCAGTGTTTATGAAAATGAATACTTAATCTCTCCTCCAGTATAATCTATCACAGGGATTCCTACATTGCCGGTGGTTCTTCAGATGGATGTATTGCATATATTTTTTAATAAAAGAAGTGTGCATTTGAGATGTCTCCATACCTTTCTGTTCTTGCAGAACATCCTTGTTTCTACTATGACTACACATGGATTCATACATTGCTTTTTGTTCTTTAAAGTTCATTCACTTTAAAGTTCATTCACTTTTTCTTTATTTATATAGTACAGCCCTATTATTACATGTACAGGTTTGTTTTGTGTATAACTGAAAGTAAATTCTGTTGTACACGGGGAGATTTGCGTATGGGAAACATGCATGTAGGGTTTCCCTGTGACATAGATAAAAACAAGCAAAATACTTCATAGAAAATAAACACATGTTAAGTATCATTCAGTTGTGGAATCAGCATGGAAGCCCATGTAGCAATCCCTTGTATCATTTGGGCTTCTGAATTTGGATGCACTGAATAAACCTGCTGGATACCAAACAATAAAAAAAAAAAACCCCTCTGGTTGGAAGTGCCCTTGTTTTGCATCAACAAAAATTATCCGGTATGCTTGTAACCTCTTAGCCATGTCTTTTGAGCACAAGGTAGAACAATAGGGACAAATAGAGACCAATATTCTTTCCTTTGACAGTATCATGCCAGAGGCAGAAAGACCTGTATTGTTATCATCCAGAGAGAGAGAGCTAAAGGCTATAGTAATCAGCTGGCATGTCTTATTGGATGTATGTTTGGGGGGGGGGAGTGAGCTGCTGTCACTTATCAGTGCTTCTCCCTAACACACGGATGTCTTTTGTCTTCAGAAGATGAATCTCTTTGGTCCATGGTGGACTGCGGCGTGGAGAGGGGCATACCAGGGATGAAAATGGAAAGGCATAGAGCTCTAACTGGAATGGCTGCAGGAGCCAAAAAGCAAATGGCGAAGGAAACCCAATAGCCTGAAAAGCACAATGATTTGTTCATAGAAGGGCAGGGAACTGAGATAAAAAAGCCTGCTAAGATCAGAAACTCTGGCGTGCACAGTGCCTCATTGTTCAGCTGTCACACTTCCCTTTACTTTATTGCTTTTGTCCAACACCCTATTGTTCAACTTCCTTTTGTCCCCCATTCAGTGTGCTGGCTTTTCATTACCCAGCCAGCCCTGTTGTTTTCATTTCTTTTGTCTGAAGTTCCTGAGAGGAAGGTTTTATTTTCAGCAGTTTGATTAATTCACAGCTTGAGACAGGCTTTGTTTGTTATGTAATTACTGCCCTGTGCTTTTCCAGAACTCCAAGTGGCAATGATGGTGGCACTTGGCCAGTTATGATGGCTGCTTTTGCCCCTAAACCTTTGTGCTTCTGCTGTTTTGTCTTTCTAGAACCAGAAAATTATTGTGTGGTTGCACTATAATGCTTTGCATCTGAGAGGTACAGAGCAAGATTTTCTTGCCTCTGTGCAGGAAAAATATTGCATGTCTGTTGCTCTGCATAAAATATGTATGGTATATTTAACTTTGTCTGCACCTGATTTCATAATTGACTCTTTCATCAAATTCTGACTTTGTTTTTGGTAAATCAGTCAATGTAATGTCCTTCTAAGGCAGGATTCCCCAACATTTTTGTATGTGCAGGACCATTTACAAATCCAAGAAACTGTCATGAGCTCCTCTTCCAAATGGCTGTTTTAAGAAGTTGGACTAGTCATAAGATGGCTGTTATGAGGATGTGGTTTATCATAAAGGACAAGTCTCTTTCAAGAACAAAGCAAAATTTGGGACTGAGGTGTAAACGTGAAGCCACATATTTGAGACTTTCTAAATGCACCCCAAAAGTTAGTGCCTGGATAGCATCCTGAATGTAACACAGGCTACCTTGTTACAGACTTCCCCATAATGGAAGGCTTTCGTCTATTCTTTTAAAATTCTAATTATTATTTCTACATCTGCAACAAGTGTGGTGTGAGAGCTCTCATAGTGTTGTGGTGAAAGTATTGGACTAGAACTGGGAAAACACAGGTTCAAATGCACCCTCAGCCACGAAAGCTCACTGGATAACGCTGGGCTAGACACTCTCTGAGCCCAAATTACCAATTTGCTGTGCTCTGGAGAGAAGTTAGAGGAGTGCTGAAGGTAAGACAGGAGATAGATTTCATTAGTAAGGAAATCTGTAGATTAGCATATGCATGCTCTGTGCAAATTGGAGTCCTGTTTTGATGATGAACATGTGTCTAAATGTACAATGGAAGTAGCAGCCATCTGATTATTTCTGAGCTTGCCTGAGATCTTGTTATGCTTGGTTTCGCATTTGGAACACTGATCTTCCTCTAAAGTGAGTGAATTTCATGGCCCTTCCTTTCCTGTTCATTTTCATAAACTTTTGTATTTTTTTTCCCCTTGTCATCCTTTCCTCCAGGATGTCCATGAGGAGCCTTGTCTCTCCTCAGCTGGAGCTTAATGGAGCTGGGAATATGGTGAACTGCACTATTAAAACAGAAGAGAAGAACGAGAGTTACTTCAAGTTGACTGAGGGGGAAGGTCCTTGCACATCACCTGGCTCCAACAACCCCAACAAATCGCCGTTGCCACTGGGTGAATGTATTGATCCCCTAACTCTCCCACAGGTGGGCCACATTCTCTCAGGCATCTACTCTTGAGGCATATCTTGCTACTCCCAAGGGGGCTGGTCTCTCAAAAGGCTCACTTTCTACTTAGCAAACTCATTTCGGGGCGGGGGGAAGTGGGGTGGGGAGGGAGAGAGAAAAACCTCAGTGATTTCCTCATCTGTTAAATGAGCTCTCTAACTCACCAACCAGGTCTGCACCTCATTCGCTACACTCTAGAGGTTGTTTGGACACACCCTGCTTGAAAGTAAGACTTTGTGAAGATAAGCATATCTGTTATCCTTCCCTTTTTAATTTCCTGCAGGGTGCTGGTGATTGACAGTGGCTCACTATCTTTCAGGAATCTGTACCTCCAGTGGACAAGGCATTAGATTCCAGGAACCCTGTGCTCGAGCCTGCAGTTAGCAACCAGGAAAAATTGGATTTCAATAAAAACCTAAGAGAAGGTAGGAAGGGTATTTTGCAGACATGATATTTTTCCCCCACACATCCAGACCAAGATCCACACACATCCATTTCAGATTGTTTCCTTTTAGATTTTTCTTCTTTTAGTTTCTGAGAAGAGGTATAATTGTGTAACAGAGTACTTGCTTTGAGATCATGGGATCCATGGTCTTCAGACTCTGGCAGTGTTGTGGAGCTGGGCTCGTGGGAGGGGTGAGAAGGAAATGTCTTTTATTTACAGAGGCAATGACATCATCTGGCAACCAACATGGGCTTCCCTATTCCCTCTGAATTTAGCTGCAATTCTCATAATAAGAGAGGGGGAACAGAGAGACATTCCCAGGAAGAATATATTGTTGTGAGCGATTCCTGTTATAATGCAAAGTATGTTGGAGTTGGCTTGGTCTTGAATAGTCAATTAAGTCCTACTAAGTTACAAAAGATCTGCTCCTGGTGCTGAAGAAAACTATTTAAACTGGATACAGTTCATGTTCCTCTTTCTCATGCAGTCTTCCTCTCCCACTTCATCTCATCCCACCACTATACATGTTTTGTGTGAATACAAGTAGTTCTATATTCATGCACATGTTTCCTGTCCTCAGTGGAAAAAAAGAGGAACTGATGCTTTACCTTGGATTTTCTGTACAGTATTTGGTTTCCCTGTAAGGGCTTTCTCTGTGCTTTTTCAGGCATATAGGCAATGTTAAAGATATGTTAATAATATTGTTCTCCTATAATCAACAATAAATTTCACTAGCTTCCTAAGCGGCAGGTCGGACTTTACTGAACTTCACATTTGTATCTCAATCCTCCTCTATTGAACTCTGGGCACACAAGAATGTGGATTATTCTCTCCCTTTCCACATAAACTTCATGTTCATAATAATTTTGAGATATAGGCTATGCTTGCTTGACTGGGCCAAGATCACTCAAGTGAATTGTATTTATTTGCTAGATTTATATGCTGCCTTTGTTCAGAAACTAAGTTGTCATCCATAGTGCTTCGTCCTCTCATTTTTCCTCACAACAACTCTGAGGGGTAGGTTGGGCTGGAAGGAGACTGACCCAGAGTCAACTAGTAAATTTCTGTGCCTGAAGGTGGACCAGGTACCAATCTGACACTTTAACCATTACAGCACACTGACAGTCACAGTGATTGATCTGGGGACAGGAATCCAAATTTCTTCAATATTTTTTCACTGTCTTTTGCCAGCTCTTTATTCTGTCAGCTGTTAATTTAAAAAGAGTTTTTTGCTTTAACTTAATACAGACACATGTACACATTTGGATCAGCATAGTTCTTTGCATTCTGGTGCTTTCTTCAGTAGGTGGGGCTACAAGGACTTCACAATGGGCAATTACATTTCAGAATTAACTATTGCAACATTGGCCCGTGATATATCTAGTTAAAATCTTCCAGTTGCAAGATTAAGCAACGTTGTAGAAATAGGATGGGTAGTGTTACATTAGACAGACAATTAGCTTGACATAGAGAAAGGTAGCTCTTCCTCCTCTTATATCCTTTTCAACTTGGAGTGGATTCTTGATTGCTGCATGTGAAAATGGCTACATTGAAAAATGTGTAATAATTTTTAAATGATCATATTTGATCAATTAAAAACAATCCCATTACACCAAGAGTGGCTATAATGTTATAAAGTAAATATCATTAGATTTACAAGAGCAGGAGGCATGTATGTTCAGTCCCAGTTTTTGCATTCAGATGCTTAATTCAGTTAATCATGCTTAACTAAAGTCACCAATTTCCTTGATTATCTTGGTCTTTCCTTGTTGTGTTATCCACCATGAGCCAACCTAGTCTTCATTTCTATTCTTATGCATTATGATTTAGAAAACTGTATCTTTCTCAATTGCAAGCCTACCTGTTGGGGCTCTCACATTTTCTTGTAACAGTGATGCCGACCATTGAAAAGTTATTGTCCAGTGAGTGGAAAGAGAGACTTCTGGGGAAAAGCCCTATGGAATCCAAAGAAGTAAAAGGTGAGCAATGGGCTTAGCTCAATTGTGTATGTTTTAGTTAAATTTGCGTAATCACAATTCAGAGAATTTTGCTTTATTTTAAAGGATTAAAATCAATTCAATATAAGAAGTGCCTCCCCATTATGAGACAATACCGCCTTTCCCAATTTTGTACTCTCCAGGCACATCAGTGTACAACTCCCCAGATTCTGATGCAGTATGCTGGTTAGAATTTAGGTGTTGTATTCCAGTGTATCCAGGATGAGAAAGACTGAGCTACTGGGCATACCAAATTGGACTTAACCATTTGAGAAGAATTAATCTTTTAACAGATTCATGTATGATTTCACCAGAACTGTGGATCTTTGAGTATAATTATCTGTTAATAAAAACTGTGCATATCAGGTTAGAAGATGGTTTGAATCCTGTAGAACTGCAGCATCTTAAAACATATCTGCACAAGCACCATTTTCCTTGCGCTCTCCAGGATTTGAGTCTCTAAGTGTAAAATGCAAGTTGCATAACATTTTTCTCAGACTCATGGAGGAGGCCTATGCAGTTGGTCTCCCTTTGTCCCTTTGATATTGCAGGATATCCACTAAGAGCTATAAGAACATAACCTTAATGTTCCAGACTGAAATTTCACTATCTCCCTCCCTCTTAATCTGTCCTCTGTCTCTCTTGCTCAATCCAGGAACCCAAGAAAGCTTGGCAGAGAAAGAATTACAGCTGCTGGTCATGATTAACCAGCTGTCCATCCTGAGGGACCAGCTGCTGACAGCCCATTCAGAGCAGAAGAACATGGCAGCTATGTTGTTTGAGAAGCAGCAACAACAGATGGAGCTGGCCAGGCAACAGCAAGAACAGGTAGGCAGTAAATCACTACTTTGTGGCTACATTTATCCTTCTTAGCCTTTGAGATATGTCTTTAGAATGTGCCCTAATTGGCACTTGAACTTCAAATTATATAGAATGTAGTAGAGCTAAATGAGTTAATAGGTCTGTATCTAACTCAAATCAACCTGGAAAGGCAAAAAGTTTAAAAATAGAATAACAAGTATTTATATCAGGGATAGTCAATCTGTGGCCTGTTTTTGTGGCCCTTAGAATCTTCTCAGATCATATTGCTTATCTTTAGCAGCAAATTATAATTTTATCACATGATTTTTCCCAATATGAAACAGGAATCTCTTCTAGCTAAATATTCCTGTTTTACTTAACCCCCCACCCCACAAAGCCAAAAAATCAAGGGCTGAAAACTGATGTCCCACCTTCTCTGCAGCTCTTGAGGTCCATTTTCCCCCCTTAAATAAAGTGTAGCCTCTGGCTGCAAAAGATAAACACATAAAAATTGCCAACTATATGTATTGTAGTTTGTCAACAAGCAACAGGGCATAGAGTCTACATAAATGGGATATTATAAAATCCTAAACACACAAGTATACAGTACGTATTCAGAATCAAAACTGCAGTCATACAAACTGAACAAGTTTTTGATGCTCATAAAACATTGTATTGTCTTAATGTGCAGAAGTAACAGTGGTATAAATGGGTAGGACTGTTGTTTCAGTGACAACTTCTCTTAACAGATGAAACAGCAAGGCACAATTTTAAACAAATCCACAAAACTAAAGGTTTAGGATGAGGTTAATATTAGAACGGTGCCTGAGACATCAGACTTCCTTTAAAGTTACTCAGTGCTGGCACTTTCAAGCCCAACTCTGATGTAACAATCTGTACATAATGCTTTACTTCACCCCACTCCAATAACTTGTCTGTTTGAGTGCTAATAGGTCAAATTTGTGCTTATTCATCTTCTTACAGCTATTCAATTTGGTAATTTCATCATCGGAATTCTGTGTAATAATGCAGATGGCGAAATAGATGAGAAATCTAAATGGGAAACATGGTATGCCCTGACCTAAAGGTTTCAGTACCCAGTGTCTTGCTTTTTCATACAGCACTTGCTATCAGCTGCATCTGTGCATTCAGGTTCTGCTTACAAGCTGCCTTGTTTTGCAGCATAAATAGTGGTATTCCATTAACTTTATAGAAGTGAGCATCATGCCCAAGTAGCCCTAAGATATGTAGTTCAGTTAGTATGGCCCTTGATTCTACCTCATCTTTCCCACTTGTAGATTGCCAAGCAACAACAACAACTTATCCAGCAACAACACAAGATCAACTTGCTGCAGCAGCAGATCCAGGTAAAATGTTATTCATTTTCCTTGGGGAATAGCACTGAAGCTTGGCTTAATTGGAGGCATTCACCAAAAAATTAGAAGACAAAGGGTTTAGTGCCAAAACAAGGGTAATAGTGCCATGTGAAGATTTTTTCCCCCTTAGATGTACAGAAATTAACATAGAAGCAATTAATATCCTGACAATGATAAATTAAATGTAGCTTTTCAAAATGTAAGAGGTTGTGGTCCAGAATGTCTTACTGTGAAGCATGTGCCAGTGAAATCATTAGGATTTAGTTCAGACTAAATGTGATTGCAATTGAGGCCTTGGTATGGGAATAAAGGGTCAGTTCCTTCCTCCTTCAATTCATATCCCCCACTTCTAGCCAGTTGCCACTTTTAGCAAAGAAATACATATTGAAAATGCATTTCAAGTTGACCAGAAACTTCAGCACTCCTTCTCCTGCAGTATGAATAACAAAACTTTTGTACTTCCTTAGATGTGTTTCTGGGTGTTTACGTTAACTACCTAATATTTGATACTGCAATATGGATATGAAGTGAGATGGTGATATACATCTCTCTGTTACTCCTTCCAGTGGATCTGAAAAAGGGCTGTTTGGATGAGTAGTACTGTTACAGTCTCATTCTTGCTATATTTATTTCTGTGTCCACCACTTCCCTTTTTTCAGCAGGTCAACATGCCCTATGTCATGATTCCAGCTTTTCCTCCCAACCACCACCCTCTTCCTGTCACCTCAGATTCTCAGATGGCACTTCCTATCCAGCCAATTCCATGTAAGCCAGGTACGAAGAGGCCAAGAAAAATGGAATTCTGACTGTGATACAGATTTCCCAAGGCTTTTATACAGTTGACTTGATATGGGAGGAGAGAACATGCTCTGTCAGTTGCAACCACTGAAAACCATGGGACTACACGAATCTACGTTGAATCAATTCCCTAATATTTCAGTCAATAAAAACGGAGTCAGAATGCCATATTTAATGGTTAAAGCTGCTGTTTTCACCACAAACCTGGCCCTTTAACATTGATAGAGCCCTTCCAGGTATCCTGGAAATGAAAAGTAGAATGAAAAATGCTGCAAAGTGGGCTTTCGTCTCAGATGCTGAAACAGAGGCTTACTGGATATGCAGGAAAATCAAGGTAGAATCTCTGCAAATGTAATAGCTGGGGTTTGGTTACATAATTCAGAGCCAGCGTGATTATTTCAAGCAGCTTCCTCTCCTAAAGTATTGTCAGCTGTTCAACCATGCAGGTTTTAACATCCCCCTTTCGGCAGTTCTCAAGGGTAAATAGAAGAATACTCAGTTTGAGTAAATTGATGAAATATTCTGCCATGTAGCAGGCGTGAAAGAAACACTGGCCTCTGCTTTTCTCTACTGCCTCTTCTACAGGGGCATCCATAACACTGTGATAGCCCATCAACACAAGTGTTTCCAAGTGCTCTGGACTCTTTTTATGTAAGCCCTTTACTTGCAGACACGGGGTCTAAAATCATGTGGCAAGCAGCACAATTCTCACTGGTAGAGTAGAAAGCAGAAAGATATTATAGAGCAGTATGGAGATAACCTTGAAGAAGAAATACACAAACCATTAAGTATACATCAACTTAGCAGCGTGAAGAAACAGGGCATGAGAAAGAAACTCAAGATAATCCTGTCTTGATTCTTTTGGGTATAAGAGGGGGCAGAGGGAACCGCTTGTGGGCGTTCCAGATTCTGTTATTATATCATACAACAATAAAGTAGAGTTCCAGTAGTTCCTATGGAGTCTGTTTCCAGACCTGGCCTAGGTTGAAGGGTTACTGACAGAAATCAGTGGCCTTCCCTTTCATTATTGTGTATTATTTATTTTACAGGTAATGTAAAATGATATAAAATCAGTATGAAATACCTCCTATTTTGTTATTATCATTTGAAATAGTGTACAGTAATGAATGTTGATACTGGCCTGAAACCATAATAAAGCTGATTGAGTGATTGATATTTAGTTATACCCAGGTTTAGCTAGTTGCATTTAGATCCCTTTTAAACTAGTATGAAAAGTTAGTTATGACTAAATTTAATCCCTTTCATTCTGATAGTCTGGATCAGTGGAACTAAGAACAGCTCACTTTAATACACTGATGACAGGTGTCCCAAAACTCATTGTTATAATGTACAAAAGGGACATATATGTTTTCATATGTTTGGGGACACGCACACAAATCTGGCCCCATTGCCTAATTCCAGGCC